GGGGGGGGGGGTTTCTTAACAACATGGGGAAGGGGACTCCATGGGGCAGGCCAGGGGGTGTGACAGAGGCCTAGGAGTGTTGGCCCAGGTCCAGCACCTCCTGGGGAGCCCTGGGCACATCACTTCACCTCTCTGAGCCTCTGGCTCTTTGCCTATGGGATGGGAGACATACCCCATCCCAGTGTTTTGACAAGGATCTGAGATAAAGGAATGTGAGAACTCTGAAGTATGGTCTAAATTTATCTTTAAAAGGCAATTCCCCAGGCTGCTGCTCACAGCTCTGAGTTACTACACAAATACTGTCAGAGCTACAAGAAGCCTAAGAAATCGTCTCTCCTGCCCCTGACTTTATAGATGAGGAAAGTGTGGGTTGGAAATGGACTAGCACCAACTAAGCTCCAGAGGTGGAATGCTTTCCACACACTGTCCCAGTGGTCCTCAGCACACTCCGGGGAGGTGTGGCCTCTCGCCCCCACCCCCATTCTGCAGACCAGGAGTCAGGACTAAAGGGAAGAAGTGGCTGGCTTAAGTCACCCACTAGCAAGCTGGAACTGGAACCCCAGCAGTCTGACTGGAGTCCAGACTTAACCACAAGGCCACAAATGAGTCACTGGTGGAACCAAGATTAAACCCAGGTCTCCTGACTCCCAGCCCAGTGCTCTCGTAACCATTCCAGGCGCTGTCTTACTGCTGGTGGGTACTGCTATCTGAGCCCACAGACTCTTCCAAGACCAGCTGCAGATCTCAAGGAGGAAGGCAGAGCTTAAGGCAAACCACCTTGGGAAAGTGATCACTGCACACCCGTCCTCCCTGTGGGCCCCACCCTCCAAGCCCAGGCCACAGCCTTCCTGGCTACAGGCTGCCTGCTGTGCCACACACGGCCTTCCCCCCAGAGCAGAAGCTGGGAGTTGGCACACACCATCCTGTAGCACCCACTCTGCCCCTCTGTTCAACCTGGCTCCCCCAAGGAGTTCGAATGGGCCAGCACCCTAGGAGGGCCTCACCTTTCTTCTTGATCATGGCCTCCAACATCTTATCTTCCTCTTCCTCCCTGAAACAAGAAAGGGAAGCTGAATGTCCCACAGGAGGGAGGACCAAAAAGTCTCAGTCCCTTCTAGCCTCCAACTCCACACAGGTTAACAAGGGGGCACTGGGATCACTGGTGGTGAGGGCAGGGCTGGCCCAGCCTACTCTGGGCCCTTCCCCCAAGGAACCCCCAGGGGAGCCCCTGACCCAGCCATGTCACCTCTGCCGGTCCTCATCCAGGCAGTTGACGATGGCATTGCGCTGCTCGATGAGGGTCACGATCTCTTGCATCAGCACCTTCTCCCGGCCCCGGTCGTCCTCTGTCCAGTCCTTTTCTGCTCGAGGGGAAAAGCTGGGGGTATGAGTGGGAGGAAGAGCCTCCCGCCCTCCTGGGAAGCCAGGAAGCAGCACCTAGGTGCTAAATTTGGGCCAGCCCTATGCTAGAGGGCAGTAAGGAGAGGCCCAGATGGGTGGGGTACAAGGTTATTATAGACAGGACCAAAGATACTGGGCTACCTACCAAAAACCTACCCTGCACTCCCTGTTATGAAATAAGCATCCGGAGGCCCCCTCAGCCATGCCCAAGCCCCTACCACTTCACCTTGCCACAAGTCTGGAGCAGGTGGCCCAGCACAGTTCTGGGGACAGCATGGGCTTCAGAGGCACCAACCCAGTTCAAGTTCCTACTCTGCCACTTCCCAAATCTGGGGCCTGGGTAAATTATGTCGCTGATCTACATGTGGGGAAACTGAGGCTCAGGGAAGTTAAGTCCTTGACCAGTGTCACACAGCAAGGATGGAGCCAGTATTTGAACCTGGGCAACCTGACACCCCCAAGCTATAGCCCTTACCGTATCAATGGGTCTCCAACCTACTTGGGGCCCTTATAAACCAGTCTCACCCTGCAAAAGCAACCTCCAGGACAGGATGACAAACCCAGGCTGTGCCTGGGTTTGGAGTCAGATAGTCCTGTGTTTTGCTGCTAATGCAAAGGGCTGGAAAAGCAACACAATAAGGCCAGAGCCGGGCTGGCCTGGGCATATAGGTGCTGTGCCCTCTCTGGCCACAGGGTGTCCCTGTGGCTCCCTATGAGTGGCGGCTATGCCCAGCCTCCCAGGAGATTTGGCAATGACTGCAGATGGTCTCAGAAAACTGGGACTTTCCCTGGCGTCCCCAGGGACACTCCTGCCTCAGGGGCTCATCCCACCTCCCAACTTCCCCAGTCAATGGGGAGGCAGGGCCACGTCGCAGCTGGCAGGAAGGGCTGTGTCTACAGGGTCGGGCCCAGGTCAGGGGCATAGGTAGAAGCCCAGGTCTACCAACGGGCAAGACTCCACCTCTCTGGCTCTCCATTTCCTCATCTGTTAATGGAAAGGACGGTGCACGCCACCAGGGCCACAGGAAGTGGTCAGAGCCCTGCTCCGGCTCTAAACACTCCACAGTCCTGCAGTCTCTCTAGGCATGCAGCTGCGGCTCACTCCATGTCACAGCCACAGACCCCAACTCGGCCACATAATAACCATCAACTGTCAGCCCCTCAGAGGCCACAGAGTGTTTCCACAACCACTGTCTCCTGGTCCCAAGAATACCCTATGAGGCAAGTACCTTCACCCTCTCTTACACTTGAAGCCACGATGGCTCACTGAGGCTGAGAAACCCGCCTTCCTTCCCTGTCCCCCGCCCCCAGCACATTAACAACAAAACACAAGGCTGTGTGACTCCACACTCAATCCCTCCTACGGCCCCCACCGCCTCCTCCCAGAGTTGTTCTGAGTCACTCTGCAGGGGATCCCTCTACCTCCCCTCCTCCTGCCGGTCAAGTCCTGCCAAGCCCTAGCCCAATGTCCCTGAGCCCCATCCCCGGGGAACCCGCCCGCCCACTCCGTCCAGGAGAGGGGGCAGCCACAGGTGGTCTGTTCCTAGCTTGCTGCTCTCTGTGAGCCAGTCATGCCTGACACCATGTGTGTCCACACTCCCACCATGGATCAAGCCTATTTATCACCTATTACAACCCAGAGGGCACCTCTAGGCCTTCTCTGGCTGGTTCCCAGAGTCTATGTGTCCCCATCAGGGCCCTGTCCGTCCACCACCCAGCCTGAAGAGGGAGAGCTGGGCTCGCTCCCCTGTATCGCCAGGCCTTGGGGAGTGCGCGAGGCCACACGCACCTGGCTTGTTGAGAAGGCACCGGAGCTCATACTCCACATCGGCCTGACGCTGCTCCAGGTTCTGCTGCTTGAAGCTACAGGGTGGGAAAAAGCCGACTATTAATTCGGACCCGTGCAAGGCTGCCCTGGCCTGTGCTGTCAGTGGCGGGGGAAGGAGCAGGGGAGTCTCTCCATCCTACGCTGTACGGGTTCCGGGAGGGGAGCAGGGGACAGAGGAGAGGGAGGACTCACACGTAGATGAGCTCAGACTCGCGCCGCACCAGCAGGTGCTTCTCGTGGATGAGCTTGAACCAGTCCACTAGCATGTCGTCCTCACGACCCTCTGGAAGCCAGATTCCCACTGAGGCCAGGGTTGGCAGCAGTTCCCGCCCTCAAAGGAGCCAGGGAGGCTTCCCCCCAGTGGGAGAGGCTCCT